ATAAAAGGTTAGAAATAAAAGGTTAGAATAGTATCTAATATTTGTGGTAGAGGTCGTGGACTAAATCTAATATTTACTAAAATAAGAGACAATACCGTAGAAGCCATGTGTCAGGTACAAGTTACCTATAACAATTGACATGACCTGATAAGCTTACTCTTCTTAACATGAACACATTTTTTTTTTTTGGCTAAATCAAGACATTATATTCCTTGAACATTGATCAGGACTTTTCCTACTAAGTTAAGTAGGACTCTTAAATCATTGGTTTTTTTTTTTTTTAAATAGCAAATAAATAAAACTTCTTATTACTAGAATATAAGAGGTACTCCTACCCAATTCCATCTAATATCCTTACAAATAAAAACATGAAGACATTTCAAATCAATGAACACATTGCCAACAAGCAAAACCCCCTCAAAATGTTCTATCCTTTCATCAACTCTTTTGCTTTATTTTTCTACACAAGTTTTGAACACTCCAGTGGGTTAGTGATTCAACTTGAAAAGTTGAAATCACCTTGCCTAGATTTTCCAATTATCTAGTGGTAAGAACAAGTTTGCACCAATGTAAACAATATCTCCTCCTCAACATTGATACCTTTGAATATATGATCATTTCTACATAGCCATATGGTCCAAACAACTAGAAAACCATGTAGCCTTCCACACCCTACCATCTTTCTTTATTTTATTGATCCAAATTTGTTGCTAAAAAGTCTCCTCTAAGTTTCAATGTATGACATAGGATAGACCCCACCATCTGAAGCATTTTATCCATAACTTCCAAGCAATAGTGCAATTTAGCAACAAATGATCCACTCTTAAATCATTGTGTTTGTCTAATTATAATTAAGGTTTTCTTGGTTGTTGTGTTGTGTTATAATTATATATACATTTAAAATTTTTTATTCCAAAAATATACATAAAATATTAATTACAATTATTAAAAAAATTAAGATCAAGATCACCATTTGGTTGGAAAAGCAAAGGACTTTTGATCACTAGTCTTTTTGCTTAATTTTTGTAAATGAGCAGGAGTACCCTTATACTTCATGTAATAAAATTTTATTTTGTTGATGAGGAAAAAAAAAAAACACTAGTCTTTTTCGCTTGGGAGAGAACAAAGATCAAAATGATAGAGATGAAGACGTTGGTTGCAGCAAAGCTTTAAGATTCCATGGCAACGACTGAAATTACAAAGAGATGAGGGGATCACCAGATTTGTTGTGGAGGAGACACTGATGGGTGCTCTAATCGACCTGTAAAGTCCATGATGAGAGTGGGAGAAAAGAGAGAGGTGAAGAAAAGGAAGAAGATAAGGATATGATTGTCCTTTTAGTTTGTGTGGAATTATTTATTAAATGAATTGTTTAAAGTAGGCCCTAATTTTACATTTTAGTATTTTTTTTGTCGAAATCGTCATTAGTTTTTATTTCATTTTCCATGTAAGCAAATAACTTTAGATTAAAAACAAATTTAACAGAGGAAAAGTGCCAAGTAAACACACTTAAATAATGGAGGGACCAAAAAACGCCAAGAAATAAATTTTAAGAATTAGAAAAGGACTTTTTCAAATTAAGAGACAAATAAAAGACTTCACATGTAAGTTGAGGTACAAAACGAAATTTTATTGTTAGAGTCACATGACGAGAGTAGGTAAGTTGAGGGCCCAAATAAGGTTCTATTTTTGAGTGAGGATTTTGAGGTTGCCGAAAATTGTTTTTCAGCACGTACTTCAACGAGTAACCATAGGTACCGATCGGTCCCCTAGTCGATAGGTCCCTAAAGCACTTTTATTTTTTCTTTTTAAGGCCAAGTAATTTTTAATTTTAAATTAACAAATACTTGTTAATTAATTGTGTTTAGTTTAAGGGTAAGAAAATAGTAAGAAGGGAACAAAGAAAATTTATCTATTTAATTACTAAGAAAGTCGAAAAGAAGGAAAGAGAGGGGAGTGAAGTCTTTTATTTAATTTATTTTGTTTTTTAATTATTTTATTTTTCTAAATGAAAAGAATAGACAGAATGAAAATAGAAAGATATAACATTCTACCATTCTCCCAGTCCCCCATTTTCATCAAAACATACCCTAAATCTCTCCAATATTAAATTTGAAACCTTAAAAAATTAAACCTTAGTATATTAAATACGAAGTTTTATAATATGTTTGGATTGAGAGGCATTAAAGGAAAAAAAAAATTTTTTTGATTATAAAAAAATTGAAGGAAGGGGAGGGTAGCAGAAAATTTCCTTTTATTT